ATTGCCCTCCACTGCATGATTATTTTGATATTCACTTCCCTATTTCCAAATAACACACTGTGCTTGCAGGTTCTTGGTTTTTCTCATGTAGGCGTTATCTGCTGGCTTCTTTTCATCCAGAGTGAGAGCTTTGTTCTCTTTTCCCCCTCCTGCCCTATCCCCCCATTTTCTTACTACTGTACTGTTACATTTTCATGTTTGATCAATTCAGTATTCAATGTTACATTCCCATGACTGATGAATGGTATCTTCATTCCTGTAAACCATGATTACTTTGGCTTTACTGCACAGTTATGGTGTTTACCATGCATAGCTCTACCAAATGTATCCTTCCTCCTTTTGCTGCTTTCTATGTATTTATCGGTACCTTCCTGTGAAGTCGGGCCCAGCTGTCTAAATCACCTCTCGAAGCTTTCCCAACCTCCCATCCCTTCCTGGGTTAGCCTAATGATCTTGTCTTCTTGCCTTCCTTCTACTATTTTTTATTGTTTTATCTTTTTATTCTACTTTCTACGAGATTTCCTCAACTCTTTCTTTTCTTGAGTTTTAAATATCTGGTTGTCTTTTTCAATTCCACAATCTCTTAACCTTTAAATTGTCCTTTTTAAAAAATTAGCCAGTATGGATTTTTTCCTCCTATGTCCATATTTCCGTGTCTGAGGATATTAAGGGTGTTATATGAGGGTAGAGGGCATTTGTTTTGATTTGGTTTGAATTTTCTTCTTGCTTGTTCTGTTTCCCCCAAGTTGTTGTTGTTGGTTTGGCTTATTTTAAGTTGACCTGTCACATATGCGGTTTTCCTGACAGTTCTATGTTAACCCTGGGTTTTCTCCTTATGTTTAAAAGCTGGGATACCGGTGTGAATCTGGTGTCTTGAGCGTGCAGCGAGAGCATGCCTAGGGTTGGTTGTGTCGCTTTGGGCCAACCTGGGGCTGTTTAGCAAGAGATTCTCTGGTGCAGAGGAGTCTCTCGACAGAAAGGAGTAGGCTCACCCCACTGCTGGGCGTGCATACGCTAGCTTAGTTCCCCAGTTTTAGCATCCTGACTCCCCTGGGCCAGGGACCTGCAGTCCAGCAACCTTTTTCCCTAGGCTGGGTGAGATGCTTGCCCAATGATAAGGACTGGGGAGATGTGGCCCAGTGAGGACTCCGCAAGCATCTGCAGCTGGGTACATGTCAGCCTCCAAGCAGGGCTTCTGCTAGGCCTCACATTCCTCCCAGCTTCAGTACCTTTTCTGTTCTTTCAGCCTCGTGAATTCACTCCTCCCCTGCCCTCAGAAAGGGCCAGGGGAGGAAGCAACAGTGAGTGCGAACCACTGTCTGTATTCCAGGACTGCTCCGGTCACTGACAGAGCTCCCTGCCGCAGCCTTTCCTTCCATGTCCACACCCGAATAAACAGCCTTTCCTGAACATAAGTCCTGAGCACTCCTGGGACCCTGCAGTCTCCCCAAGGACTGCATCAAGCCCTCCCATGCCAATGGGTTCATCCTATGCTGGACTCATCTGGTGGATTTTGCTCTTTGAGTTCCTTAAAGGGCCTCCTACTTGAGTACTTTTTTTTTTTTTTCCCGGTACCGGGAATCGAACTCACAACATTGCGCTTACCAGGCAGGCTCTGTGCTGCTGAGCTAAATCCCCAGCCCCTTGAGTACATTTTAATGGGACCTCATAGGGCTTTATTCTGTTATTTGTTATTCTTTGCTGTGGCTATTTAATGCTTACTAAGAGCCAACAATTTATTTTTTTCAATTTTTTTATTTTAAAGATTAAAAAAAGCTAACAAAATAACAATGAAGACAAAATCAAAACACACAAAAACAACAAAAACGTGACCTCAAAACAAAATGATAGAAATTAACAATGGTTGCTGCATTGTTATTGTCAGTGAAGTTGCTCAGTCCACCAGACACAAGCCTAGCTGGAATAGGTGTATTGCTGCCAACAATTTGTTTTTTAAAAATGAGTTGCATGGGATCCCTGCTTGGTGAGCTGCGGATCTACATTAGTAGGTAGTAGTTCCTGTTAATTAGCTGGGTCCTCTACTGTCTGTCAAGCCACTGTGGTTTCATCGACATTTCAGATCCACTTTGAGTCATAACATTACTCACTGGGGCACATTAGCTGCTACCCTTTACTTGTTAACGCAAGTGTTTCACATATTGTTGTAACTGAATGTTTCCTGGCCCTTGGTGGAAACTTGCTTAGTGCCTTCTTGCAGACCTGGTGGAAATTAGAAAGTGGTTTTTGCCAACTCCGTTCTGCTTTGAGCTGTTTCCTGGCTCCATTTGATTACTCAGGGCAGCCATATTAATTGTAGAGGACAACGGCCTGACCTTAGATACTGTTTTTAACTGTAAACAAGCATTTGCAAGATCAAAACCCACCAGATAGTGTCCAAACAGCAAGAAAGGTTTGGTGGGAGCTCGGACATGGAAGTGTCAAAGTAACTTTCAGACTGTACGTAACAGGCCCTGAGAGGGAAATGTCTTTCCATTAGCCTTTTCCTGTCTCAGCTGGTGTTACAACTCCCAAATGCTGTCTATGACAAGTGAAGCAGAGAGAATCAGGAGTAAACACAGAAAACCAAATGGCCCAGCCCTGCACCCTGTTGATACCAACAGGAATTAAATGCTTTTCTGTAGATGAGGGTGAGTAGATACCACTAACCCAGTGAGCTAAAACAAGGGAGCAACTCTGACCTGCAGGCCAGAGCCCATCAGCGACGGAATGTGGGCAGTTTTCAGGTTGAAAGTGCAGTTTGGGCAGAAAGAAAAGATGACAATGAGAAAGAGGAGGATGAGGAAAAAGAGAAGGAAGAAGCAAAAGAAAGAGGAGAAAGGAAGAATACATAACAAAGACTGTCCATGATCCGTAACAAAGACTGTCCATGATCCGTAACACTGAAATTATTTACTATCTGGCTGTTCTTTACAAACAAGTTTGCAGACTTGTAATCTCAGGACCTCACCGGCTTGGGCTCATTCCTTTCCTGACCCACATGCTCCTCAAATCAGGGAAATCTCTCCAAGTGTTTTCTGCGGCTTTTCATGTGTGTGTCTGTATCTGATTTCACAAAATAAGAAAGAATCATAAATAAGTTTGAATCACTGCTTGTTGAGTTTGCAACAGCTGAGGTTTACCAAATGAAGGACATAATTGGAGTACGTACGTCACATAGAGTGTATACACACACACACACACACACAAAGTCAGCATGCCCCAGCATAAACTGAATACCCAACTACATATGGAAAACAGCAGAATTATGAACAGGCTTTCTATTTACTGTGTGGCTTAGGTAGACATACTGCTATTAAGATGTCTGCAAATTTGTGTGTCTTTGTGAAGTACAAAGTGTGAATAAAAGTCAAAACATACCAATGACATACAGAGACTTTCACCGACTGAAAGTCTAACCAAAGAAAAGGTTCCACCGACAGCTTCAGAGTTAGATGTGTATTTTAGGTTATGTCATTGTAAGACATTTTCAATCTCTATACTCCAGAGCGTCCACATGTCACTTCCAGGTGAATTCTCCAGAAGTTTAGCTCTGATCCAGCCATTCCCAGGCTTTGAAATTTTCAGCTCTACATAACTTGTCAAGGTGATCTGATACTCAACTTTAAGAAGAAGGTAAACCAAATAAGTAAATTACCAAGTCCCCCTTTTCGGTTAACTAACTAATGTGAAAGTCATGGGAAAATGAGGAGCAGTCCAGTTTCTGTTGCTCCATATATTATGCCGTATTTCTCTCAGTGTTATGGGGCAGTTTCACATTCCCCGTGAGTCCACAGGCAAATTCAGCATCCTGATAAACTGATTATTCCTCTGGCAGTGCACTGTTTCCTGTAATGCCATCAAGAGGTGATTTGACAGAACATTCAGATGAGCAATCAGAAATAAATTTTTGCAACCCTATTTGTGTCTCTAATACTGAACCTATTTTAAAACATAACCCTCTCCAAAATGCACCTTCAGTGGGACATGTGACTCACAGTCAAGTAATGAGCTTGGTGTTCCGTTCTTCCCTTTGATCCCCACCAGCACTGATCCAGAGCACACAGAATTTTCCTGTGTTCATAGGATTTCTTTCCAGCTGACAAAGCAACTTCATTCTAAGGATAAACACTGAACTCAAACATAACTCAGGATTTCTCATTTGTTTTCTTGTCAGAAAACAAATTTTGTAACAATAAATAACTCAAAGTATATTATATATTCTGTTGTTGGGATATTAGGTTGTAGAAATCCACAGGTAAACATTGTCAGTGTCTTCATTTATTAAAGAAAAAATGAGAAGAGAACACAGATAAGTAGAATTTTATGAGAAGCTGATCGTGAAGGTCCGGATCCTGTTCTAGGTTTGCAGGGAGGGAAACTTGAGTCCAGGTGACGTTTCGTGGTGGACAGGGCTTGGTACATATCTCTCAGCAGGAAAACAGCAATTCGTTGAGCACTTTTTGGAAGTTTCGTCATCTGAGATTTCTGAACGAGGCCCAGTGCTGCCTGGGAGGGGAGGGGCACTTGTATATCATGGAGAGATGAGGTGAAGGGCCTTTGGGGTACGGGACATCTCCCTAAAAGGAATGAAGTGAATTGGCACTGACTATCCCTCTAAGAATGAGAAGCAGGAAAAAGGAGGGAAAGTAAAGACATTGATTAAATCATAATAATTAACCTTATTAATAATGATCTAAAAAAGAGTACATCTTTCAGATCCCCGAAAGTTATCTAAATCCTTTTTTTAGCTGATGTCTTCACTTATGAAGTCTTGCTTCTGAGTTTATCTTGATTCTCTCAAGATGGGTGGGGTGCCGGGGGCCTGTCCTTCCTGCACAGCTCTGGCCGTGGTGTTCAGAGCTCTGCTGGTCCCATAGTGAGGTGGGTGCAGTTAATGCACTTACACCCCCTCGGCGAGCCGGCCAGCCGGCCTAAAGACTGCAGCTGGCCAGATGCTTCTGAGCAATTAGACACTGATTAAGTGATTGTCTTCTTTACAGGTGGGAAGGAAAGAATGAAAATGAAGTGGGAAGATGTAAAGAGACCGGCAAAATTCACGTGAAGGTGGATCTCAAATACTACCGACCAACTGAAGTGGTAAGGACCCTGGCTGCCCAGGGCATGGGCGCGTCGACCCGCCGACTAGGAACACCCTCTCCCAGGATGCCTGCTGCCAGCCTTCGGCACTGTCCGTGTGCCTCTTTGGCACCCTTCAGTGGGCATTTCCCCAACAGAACCCAGGGAACTAAATCAGAGATACCATGCTTACCCCCAAAGTTCATTCCTCTATAAAGGACAACAGTAAAACACACCCCAGGAAATAGTTGATTCAGAAACGGAGGCTCAGTACTGGCCAATTTCATCACATTAGTCTGTTCTAGGCTGACCCTGATACTTACAGGGCCTCTAACTTGTTAAGCCTGTGTGGACCTGCAGGGTCCCTGGAGTCTCTGGAGAGCCACACACCTCTCCAGCTTTTCCTGTGCACACTCACACACGTGCACACCTATGAGAATATGTTCACATACCTAATTCATAAATAATCTCCCTCAGGGCTGAGTGTGGTGGTACATACCTGTGATCCCAGCACTCAGGAGGCTGAGGCAGGAGGATCACTGTGAATTCAAGGCCAGCCTGAACTACAAAGCGAGACCTGTCTCAAAAAGAAAAAAAAGAAAAAGAAAACCTGATCTTTCTTGGCTGAGGGACCACCCTGTCTATGAAACTTTCTGGGCAATGTGCTACTACCACTGAAATAGCTTCCCTTTCCTTTGTATCCACATGGTGTGCTATGCATAATTCTATTACAGTGCTATCATGATCATCTGTTCACATATTTTTCTCCCTTTAGAAACTTAAAAAAAAAAGGACTGTTCCAAGGCAGGTGCTAAATAAATACTGGTTGGTAGATGGATAGATACGTTTTGAAATACAGAAGTTCCTGTATTAAGAAATAACCTATAGATTGTTAGTATCAATAGTATATATTGTTAAATTCATCACATCTTTGCCTTAATTTATAAACGTGTAGTTTGGTGCTATTGCTTTACATGTGATCTGCTCTCACTGTGGTGACAAAACTCAGGGTGTTAAATATAATCCATATATACAAAAATATTAGCAGTGTCTTTAGAGAGAAACATTACAGTGTGATGGTTGCCTCCTACGTGCACATTCACTGTGAAAACAGGATCCTTTTAAACCTGTTTTCCCCGTGTTTTGAACTAGATTCCTATGTGTTATACAACCTTGCGGAGATTAGGAAAACCGCAGTGCAGAGAGACTTGTGAGCGTACTGGGAGGGTGCTGTCACCAGCCACCCTCCAAAGTGTTTCAGACATGAAAAAGCTGAGCCTGACAGAGGCGACGCACAGAAGGAAATCAAAGGCAAAGGAAGTCACAGAGCAGGGAGAGGGCGGCTGGGCCGGCGGCATTGTCTGGGCGCAGGGTGTGGCCGGCTTTGACACAGCCAGCAATTGTTCCCGCTGTTGATGGCGAGTGGGCGTGCCTAGGAGAGGATGTGCCCTGGCCCTGGGGGAGGCAGATACCAGCCCACTGGTGCTGACACAGCAAGGACAGCGTGGCCTGCGCTTCCCTGTTCCATGGAGGTTCCATGGAGCTCCAGCGTGATCACGTATGTGGGCAAACTCATCTCACACGGCAGTGGTCACGTTGGGGTGGAAACGCCACAAAGTCAACCAAAACCCGAGTTCTTTCAGCAGCGTAAGTGTGGCTTTCTCTCCCTGACGCCAAAATAGTTTCAAAAGCTAGGAAGTCATTAAGAAGGGCTTGTCTGCCGTTCTTACTCAGGCAAGGTGTGGAATTGATAAGGACACAGAACAAAAGAATTTGTTGAACAGGAAAAGACCCTCAGACTGACAAGACCTCTCTTGAATCCCAGTCCACCCCCTTTCCTCCATCTCTGCCCAGGTCTTTTGTTCATTCAGATGCTATCATCGTACCTGTTCTTCGACTCTGTTGACACCGGTATTGTTTGGACGTAGAGTGGTGTCTGATTTCATAGGCCCGCTTCACTTTTCTACCCATGGAGTTCTCCCCAAGACCCCTTCCGACCTTCCCCTGGGTCTTGAGCTACATCTCCTCCCCCAAGCCTCAGGGCTGCCTTACTTTTGGCCACTGCAGTTCATCTCAGTATCCCATTGGGTTGCCTTCCCCGTGTGGTGAGACTGACTCTTCACCTCATCCCTCAGGGCTCCAAGGCCTCCTTAAACTCAGATCCATCTGAGGAGCCTGTGGAGTTACCTCGGGGTGACCGTGTTCTTCCAGTGGAAAGGCAACCAGAATGGAGGCTACACTCTAAATGGGCTTTTGCCCACATGGCTCCTGAAATGCTCTGCACATCTCCGAGGTTCACCAGCCTACATTGTAGGGCACAGCTGGGGCACCCCACCTCCCCCACATGGCCTTGCCCACTAGCCTTGGTCCATGCTGCACCTGCTGAGGCTTCTCTCCCTCCCCCTGATTCTGAGTCTGCCCTCCAATCCCCTTTGGCCATCTGTCCCCCAGGACCATTGGACCCTTGCAGCCAACAGCATAAAGTAGGACTAGGAGAATAGCTGAGTTGCGGAGCACTTGCCTTTGCTCAAGACCCTGGTTCTATCCCAAGCACCCCCACAAAAAAGGTGTTAACCAAATCTTGTAGTCAGATGGTTCCAGAATGACCGATAAAGAAAAAATATAAAGCATATTTGGAAACAGTAAAAAGAAATGAGAGCATATCAGGTCTCAGAGCACTGATACCCTAAAGCAAGACTAACAGGAAGTAGAGCCTTATGTTGTTTTTTGAATAAGCTTCAGCCTAGTCTTAACCAACGCCCTTCGCTCTTCACAGGCAGGTCTTAATCCCAAAGAGGCACCCCCTAACTCCAAGCAGAGCGTAGTTTCCCATGTGCTGATAATTCTTTTCCTTGTTGATGTAGCCACCACAAAACCTTAAATCTGGCTTCTGCAACAGTATGAAAAGTTTTTATTCTGGACCAAGTTCTCCAGCTTGCAATACAACTGGATGCAGTCACATGTTTTGGTACTCTCCCAGGGCTTCCTTTAGCTGTTTAGGAGTTTTTGCTACTACAGAGAGCTTGATCTTGGAAATTACACTGTAAGTTCCCTTTGCCCCAGAATTGCAGTATTTGATGATGCATTGATACTTGAGTTCTAAGCTGCTCAACACTCCTGCCCTGAGCTGGAGTGCAGCTCAGTGGTAGAGAGATTGCCTAGCTTATGCAAAGCCCTGGGTTCCATCCCAGGCGCTGGGGAAGAAAACGTAACCCAAATGATGCCTCACATGCAGTTTTCTATATATTTATAGTTGCCACACACAGTTTTATTGCACAGTGCGTTCATTTCTGAAGAGGAAATAGTATTGTGTTTAAATGTGCACCCTGGGGCCAGACTGCCTGAGTTCAAAACCTGTCAGTGACTAACTGCGTGACCTTAGGCAAATTACTTAACATCTCATTGCCTTTATTTTCCTCATTTTTAAAAATGGGATTAATAATAGAACTTCTTTCAAAGAATTGTTGGGAGATGAATGGATTCGATTATACAATATCTGGCACACAGTAAATACCCAGTATTGTAGCTGTTGTTCCTTATGTATTTTTTCATTCATTAAAGATCTACCAAGCACTGGTAGACCCTGGGACTATAATGATGAACAAGAAAGACACAGTCCTCGCCCTCATGGAAATTGTAGCTGTAGAGGTGACATTGGTTCCTGGAATCTGAAACCTTTGGAAAAGTAGAATGACATCATTAGTGAACTATATGGACAGACCAGTTAAGTAGATAATAAAGCATAATCAGGCCTCTAGCAAACATTAAAATGTACTTAGTTTGGCTATGCTTGCTCTATCTCAGTTTTCCTTTGGAGTCTCATTCTAAAGATTCAATGCCTGTGGTTCAGAGATTCCATATAAATATGAAGGAATTGATATTGACCTGTTATTTAATTTAAAATAACAACAAGGATGTTTTCCTTTTCTTTGAGAAATTTTAACTTGGAAAATTCACAAAGGAGAGATTAATAAAGTATTCATCATATACCAAATATTTAACCCATCACATGATCTCTATAAAGGAAAAAAAAGACTTTTTTTTAGTGAAACAACCAAAAACTCCTTCTCCCCCATAGAAGACTTTAGGAAAGGGGTGAGGCACATGTCCACAGACCAATATCAAGAACTTTTCATGAAAAATATCTTGGCTTAAACTCTGCTAGCTGATACTAAAGTTGTTTTTTCCCCATATCATTTTTCTTTAAGTTTTTTTCCCATCATATTTCTGATGTCCTGGATGTGAGTTGTTTTTATTTACCTAAATACCTTACATTTATTCCTACTTTTTATAGCTGTTATATAAAACCATGGATTAAAACAGAACTGCAAAAGCAGTGATTTCAAAGAAGTCCAACAAGCTAATGAACACACCTTCCTCTAGTGAAAACTCACAGCCTGTTTCTAATCAGATTACCACCGTGCTTGTCTCCTCCTGCCCCCCACAAACTTTTCCTAATATTTTTCTGTAAGTGATGTTAAGTTAAATGGCCTCTAATTGCTTGCTGCATCGCGGAGCGCTGTTTAAAATAACGCTGTGTAACACTTTCCAGGTCTTAGGAATCCGATCTGTCATCAGAGGACTTGTGTAAATACTACCTAGGGCTTCCCTCCACTGAGTCCCTGTGTTTTGGGGTGAAAAGCCCTGCATGTGTTCACCAGGCTAGCCTTTTGTCCCGAAACTGTCCCCTTCCTCTGCCATAGCTGTCCTCACCACCTTCCGCACTTCCCCACCAAAGCAGGAAATGCAATCCATCCCCCTCTGTCCCTGCATCTGCGCAGCCCTGGGAGAAGCCAGCCCATCTTCCCCGGCCCTGATCCTTCTGACCTCCAAGGCTCGTCCTCCCCTCCACGCCTGCTCTTTGTTCCTTGCTCGCACTGGTGGGAGCTGGGGTCAGGGGACACAGGGAGCAGATTGGGGTCGCGGGGCCGCTCTTCCTTCCGGCACTCCTGGGCTTGTGAAGGGAGAAGCTGGACGCGCAGTCCCGAAAGGCCCTCCACACCCTCAGACCACAGTGGTGT